TTGATATGCCACTAAACAAAATCAACCAACCAACAATACATATTTATAGTAAAATGACCAACAATACATTTTATTTGTAGTTGAAGGCACACAATTGCGATCAAAATATATTTAGTTGAAGCCATAAAATTGTGTTCAAAATATTTAGATTTCGGCATTAAATAACCCATAGAGGTGTTGATGTGCCGCTAAACAAAATCAACCAACCAAACCAATCAAAATATTTAGATTTCGGCATTAAATAACCCATAGATGTGTTGATATGCCGCTAAACAAAATCAACCAGACCAAACCAATCAAAATATTTAGATTTCGGCATTAAATAACCCATAGAGATGTTGATATGTTGCTTAACAAAATCTGGGGTATTATAGTAGCTGCAGTAAGAATGCTAAGTAAAAATGTGTTGTTTTGGTGTAAGGACTATTTTCTTTAGTTTATTGTATATAAATTGTATTTACTGTTAATATTAATTGGGGTTTCATTTTTAAATGTTGTTCTTTTTATTCCCCGCCTCCATGCCTTTCTCAGGGGCATTTGTGTGAAAGTAAATGCAACAGACTCATTTTTCCCCGGCATCGTATTCTTATCTTTGGCAACAAAGTGTCAATGCTGTAGAAAGAGCTCATGAATAACACGTGATAATCTCCGTTTTGATTGGATAAAGTAGAATAATGGATAACGGCTCGGATTGAGGAATCCTCTTCTTCTCCTCCGTAGATATGGGTAAATAGCAGGTCAGACCGAGTTCTATAGACTTGGATGGCAACTGTTCTGCCGCAGAAAGAAATAGCAACCTACTGCGGGAAAAAAAATCTGCCTCGCCATTCATGTATCGAAAGATACATGATCGCCTAAGCGTGTATCACGCATGACACATAACTGACTGTCTTTCCTGTCGAATCCATTACATTCACGTACTTACGTGCTAATACCCTTGGGAAAGGTATGAATCCTCTTCTTCTCCTCCTCCCAGGTATGGGTAAATAGCAGGATACACCGGGTTCTATAGACTTGGATGGCAACTGGTCTACCGGAGAAAGAAATGGCAACCTACTGCGGGAAAAAAAATCTGCCTCGTCACTCATGTATCGAAAGATACATGATCGCCTAAGCGTGTATCACGCATGGCACAACTGACTGATTCGAGGCTTTAATCAATGCTGGCATATATCTGACTGAATACTGCGCTAAAAATTTATAAGTTCCTGATAAGTCTGGCAATAAAATATAATGGACTATTTCCTTTTCAATTCTGTGTCGAATCCCAAAAGAAATTTTATGATTTTTTTTCTTTCTCAGGAGATTTCGGTAGAATATAATTCCAGAAAGTAATTTCTTGAATTTATTTTTTTGTTATTTTTTTTCTGAATCTTTAGTGCTACCGATGACATTTTTAAGATGAATACTTCATTTATATAAAAATGTGAAAGCGGGGTATTTGTTTTTATGGTTAATAAAAGAAAACGCCAATGGAACATTATTTTTCGATTCTTTGAAGAACCCCAAAAGGAATATAAACATTTTTTATCCAAGAAAAAATTTAATTTCTTTTCGGTAGAATATAATTCAACAAACCAATTTTTTTTTGTTCGATGGTGCCGATGGCATTTTTAAGGTTAATAAAAAAAAATTGCTTCTCATGTCTGAAAAACGATTTTCAAAGAATACAAATACGTAAACAAATATTTAGATAGGCTAGGGGTCGGCAACCTTTTGCTGACCTATGTGCCATACTTACGGTTTGAAAATCATTCAGTGCGCCAACAGCATACGTATTTTATACAAGTCAAGATCAATATACCTGATCTACAATATATTTTATATAGTAATATATACAATAATATGTAAACCACATTAACTGAAATAAACTATTTTTAAAAGTTTTTTTTTTAAGTGTCTGTTATTAATTGGAATCCAACGAATGAGCAGTTTCGAAACAGCTAAATATCTCGTTTGCGTTGTAGATGTTATTGGGTTGGACTTTGTGATGTCATTTGCGGCTGTGTGCCATGGAAAATTACTTGGCGTGCCGCGTGTGGCAAGAGTGCCGCGTGTGGCAAGTGTGCCGCGTGTGGCAAGCGTGCAGCGATGGCAGCGTGTGCCGCGTGTGGCAAGTGTGCCGCGTGTGGCAAGCGTGCAGCGTGTGGCAAGAGTGCCGCGTGTGGCAAGTGTGCCGCGTGTGGCAAGCGTGCAGCGTGTGGCAAGAGTGCCGCGTGTGGCAAGCGTGCAGCGTGTGGCAAGCATGCCGCGTGTGGCAAGCGTGCAGCGTGTGGCAAGCGTGCCGCGTGTGGCAAGCGTGCAGCGTCTGGCAAGCGTACCGTAGGTTGTCGACCCCCTGAGCTAGGCACATCAAAAAAGAAATGTAGATATCCTGACACGTAAACAAACAGTCACTGGTCAGATTTATTATCGATATCTACGAAACTTAGAAAGGTCACATGAGCGAGAATTGGTCTACAGGATATAATCATTAATTGCCACTTAACGAACCAACTTACTACATTGATGTAGCTTCCGTCAATCTTAGAAGGTTATAGATTCTACCGGGATGGCTACTAGGGTGGCCTGTTGTAGACGCCGACTCAGGCATATTTTCGCGTCTCTCCGACACCCACACATCCAAATCTTAAGTTACAGATTCGGGAAGAGTACGCATAATCTAGCGTGATCAGTAAGTTGAACTAATACGATGAGCTGTGACTTTGTGCTAGAAAATCTATCGATGGGTTCTGAACAGTACTGCAAGCTAAGATCATCTTCCCAGATATCAAGATTGACATATTAACTATAGTGAGGTTTGAACCCGGGTCTCATTTTCGGATAGCTATCACTCTAGCCACTCAGCAGCGAAACTACTGGTATTCAAAATACACTCGTGCACCATCGCACTGTATATTTTTAAATGCTGCGATCTTTTATGACATAGTTGATCAAGTGTCTCTTGAGGTCCTTTTCTCTGCTATCTATAGCCGAGTGGTTAGAACATTCGCTTTCTGACCATGAGACTCGGGTTCGAATCTCAACATGGTCGATTTGTCAGGAAGGAGACTTCCTGATGTTATCGGTCTTTGGGGTGGGGACAATCTCAGCGTGCAGCACCTTTGGAAAGTGCCTGAAAACCATATCACGGGTTGATTCGAGCTTTGTGAGTGAAATTGGATAGATAGACAGAACCCTTGGAAGCCGTCGATAGTCGTGCGCGCATCAAGTCACAAGTCATCGTGACCGAGAGTTTGAGCGTGCTGGCCTTGTTTAAACTGTTGATCACGCTAGATAACGCGCACTCTCCCAGAAACTGTGACTAAGGTCTGCATAGCATAGTTGTAGTATAAAATACAGGTGTGCTCTGTAGATGTTGCGCAAACACAAATGGACCTGCGACGGGGACTAGCTAGCCGCTCTATTAAACTGACATCCTCGGATACGAGAGGCTACACCATTTACATGAATAACCATCACTTATTAAAATAGTGAAGTAATTTCCTGTTACCATCCTCACAATAATACTTTTCCTTAACTGGCTGACACCCAAGTCTAGAAAATCCAGTTTACTGTTTAACCCAAGGTTGGGAAAGAAGAAATGGATTCATTTCTTCCCAATGGGTATTATACAAACAAGTGGTTCTCAACCAGGGTCTATACTGACACTGAGGGTCCATGTAACATTACTGGGGGGTCCACACACACATAAAAACACCCCGCCCCCCAAAAAACCCCGCAAATTAGTGGGGGAAGGTCCACGGTAATATTTTAGTGATCCATTACAACTAAGACTTGGAGACTCTTCAGTAATCTATGTCATAGTTGAATACTAAAAATAGAAAAAGAAAAAACAACTCTAAACTAACAGAAAACGAGATCAATCGATATAATTTAGCGTCCCTTTTACTCTACCGGATGTTTTGATTGTAAAAGTTGAATAGAAACTGAGAAGGATATCTAAAGGAAGGATTATTCATATAAAGGAAAATTATATAAAGATTATAATTTATTATATAAATTAATTTAATATATTAATAATAAATAATAACAATCATTTTAAATATTAATAAAATAAAATTTTAATATGTTAATATCAATTACTCTATTTTCCGGCTTACAAGATGCACTTTTTTTCCTAAAAAATACCCTGAAAAAATATATGTGCATCTTCCGAGCCAAATGTAAGGTAACGCCCAGACTTAACTAATTGGCTTGACTGATAGGGATGCGAATTTCTATGTTGAGTCATTACACTCTAATGTTAGTTATCTATCTAATTCAACCTTTTATATGTTGTAACCTAAATACTTAGCTGTTACAAATATTTTCAAGACTATAAACCTTCCTGGAGCCGAGCCACAAGCTTAAACATGCTCTGTTTACTAGCAGCAGCAGGAGCCTTTCTGCTCTTGACTAGTATGTCATTGCCATGAAAACAAAATCGGACGAGTGATTAATGTAAGCAATACGTGGCGCCAGTTTGTGAGGGACGCATGGTGAATGTATTGTTGAATGAGAATTTTTTTTTCCTAGAAATTTCTTTCCAATATTAGGGTGCGTCTTCCAAGCCACGGCGTCTTGTAAGTTGGAAAATACTGTAATTGATATAAAATATTAAAAAATAAATTATTAATAATACAATTAATTAAGGATTATATATAAATAAATAATACAATTAATTAAGGATTATATATAAATAAATAATACAATTAATTAAGGATTATATATAAAGGAAGGATTAACGGTATTAACCTCTTCAGTAGCATCAACCACTTGGATCTCATTGAATAAATCTGTCCTTTATTTATTAATAATGACAAATTTTTTAAAAGTTTTAAAATGGTTTATTATGAGTTATTTAACTAGTGTACATAAATGTACCATAGAATTCAGTTGCTAAATACGAGTTTATTTTGAATAAAAAAAGTTTCACTTCAAAATAAAGTATATACATGTACTATTTCTATAATCTTTCTTTTTATGTGCCATGTCCTTTCGGGACGTAGGTGATTATGGCTCTCCACCTCCTTCTATCCCTTGCAGCTCTCAACAAGTTCCTTCCCTCTGTCTCTTCCTCCAGACCATGTTCTGTCATCCACTTGCTTAAGTCAGCGTTGTTTTCCCTTGTCTCTCTTTCTCTCTATTCGACCCATGGTATCAGATTCTCCAGGCCCTCCTTCCTCATGATGTGTCCCAGAAACATCATCGGCCTCTTTCTGATGTTAAGTATAAGCCTTCACCTTGTTTGTAACCTCTCTAAGACCTCATCGTTGCTCAAATGCTCGGTTCATGATATCCTCAGCATCCTTCTGTAGAACCACGTCTCTGACGTCTCGAGTCTCTTCTCCATCTTTGAGGAAATCGTCCAACATTTGCTGCCGTAAAGAAGGACAGATGCCACATAGCCGCTCAGTATTCTTTTCTTTGTTACCAAAGAAATCAACCTCAATTCCTAAACTTAACTATTAGTAAAAAATAAAATAAGCTTATTTTTTTTTTTTTTTTTCATCGAATGGTTATGGGGGTCCACAAAAAAATCAAGTGGACCATAGTCGAAAAAAAAAAGGTTGGGAAGCACTGATTTAAATTGTCAGGTGTATACAACAGCGTCCTAAGTTACCTTTTATTATGACTTCCTGTCAGACCGAATTTTTCATTCTTCTTTTATCTATTCTCATTTGATTATCCTGTCGGATCAGAGACGGGGGAGGCGAACGGTGGGAGTGGGGGGGTTGTAGATCGATCAGATTTGTATTCGTGACATTGGCCCTACAGATCAATACATCGGACGGACGTTCCGGGCCGGCGCAGACCACCAAAATTAACTGTTAACCTTGAAGCAGAATTGGTGCGTATTGATTTTTAAGATATTTGAACAAATCTGCAAGAAAGTCATTTCTTTACACTACACACGTTTCTCTTGGTATGATAATAAAACTACTATCTGTCGGTCACGCTCTAGAGCTAACGATAACAAAGAGAAAGCGAGAGACAAGGGTGGCTGATTTCAGATCTAAAAGAACTTCTCCTTTAAATACTCTTTTCTAAAATCTTTTTTTTTAAAGCATTATAGTACAAGCAAGAGGGTAATGACACTAGGACGCAAGGGGTTACTGGGGGTGAACGATGATGAGAAGACTTTAGTGAGAAGAAAAGAATAATGAAAGAACAGGACTCAGGAATACAGAAGAAAGCGGTTTAAATTTTTGGAAGATTCTAGTTGGCAGGGAAGCAGGAAATTCGGAAAGAGACCCACAAGTGAGGTGGGGGGAGGTAAAGAAACTGTCAGAATAGAACTTGCGGTTACATCTGTTTCAACAGAAAAACGATAAAATCTTGTATCCAATCTAATAGTCCCCTTGCATTCATGGGGTCGAGGTACTAAAAAAAAAACTAATCATGACACGTGCCATGAAAAAAAAAAAAAAAGACAGAGAGAAATCACAATCCGTCGGTGATAAACTGACTGAAGTCGAGATGCCAGGTCAGGACCGATAACATTGCAGACCCTTCTTTGCATTTTGAGAATCTAGGATACAATGAAAATTTTAAATTCTCCCAGCCTTTCTTTCACATAAGTCCTAGAATTTTCAGCTGACTCTTTCTGATTCTAAGTATAAGTGTGCTTTTTGTTACCATTTTATGTTATTCTCAATATCCTTCTGTAGAACCACATTTCTGTTACCTCCAATTTTCTCTTCATCTGTGAAGAGATTGTTCAGTATTCACTGTCATATATAAGGGTTGGTATCACAAAACAGTTCAGCACTCTTTTCTTTGATTTTACCATCTCAGTCAAAAATTGGAAAACAATTCAATAGACAGATTAAGTGTAGCTTAGATCTGACACAAGGCCAAAAGTACGGAGCATCCAGTGAGGATCAAACTCACTATCCAGTTGTAATTGATCTAAAGAGACAAGCTTGCTAATTATTACACCATATCAAAGTGCCCAAGGAATTTCAGCTGTCTTTTCTTGATTCTGAGCATACATGTTGTTTTTTGTTTGTTTGTTTGTTTTTTTACCATTCAGAATTCTCAATATTCTTCTGTAGAACCACATTTCTGTTACCTCCAGTTTTTTCTTCATCTGTGAAGAGATTGTTCAGTATTCACTGCCATATATGAGGATTGATATCACAAAACAGTTCGGCACACTATTCTTTGATTTTACCATCTCAGTCGAAACTTGGAAAAAATGGATGTCTTGTTGCTGCCTAATTGAACAGAAACAAGGCAACAGGACACGACGGGATTGTAATAAAATGTGGAAATTACATTTTTAAATTCCTTGGTGACTTTGAGACACCCTGTATTACGAATCTCTTTATTTTTGTTTATATTATATTTGTTTACATGAAGGAGATACAAATGTCCATCGTAAATGTGATATATGTTATAAATAATTTAAATAACTATTTTTTATAGCTGCATCAGCCAGTTATGTCCTATATATAATACACGCTTAGGCGATCATATATCTTTCGATACATGACTCACGAGGCAGGTTGCCATTTCTTTCTGCAGTAGATTGCCATCCAAGGCTATTTACCCATAAATGGGGGAAGAAGAAGAGGATTCATACCTTTCCCAAGGGTATTAGCACGTAAGTAAATGTAATAGATTCGACTGGAATTCGAACTCGTCTCTCTGATTCCTCAATCCGAGCCGCTATCCATTACTCCAGCCTTAAGCTACATGCATTAACTTTATTAGGCATTTTTATTATATCCCGTTATTTATACGTGATAAACTGTATTAAAAAGCGTGTTACTACAAGCAAAACACATCTTGCCATAAAGGATAAAGCAGAAACATTGCAAATATTAATAAGACTAAACAAAACCTTATTCTGCATTGGTCATTGTGTGGTCTACCAAAGGTCATGACCTCAAGGGCCAAACCAATTCCTTGGGTTTGAAAAATATGCTACTGGTATTACTTCTTTGAGCAGTATCCCATCAAGACATGGATGTCCATGGCTATTAATAACATGCTACACCTGGCAGCTCTTAGCAACAACTGTCCTTTTGCTAAACATCTCATTCACAGTTCTGCCATCGATTCACACAGGTTCTTTAGGTAGATTACCCGCTGTCTTTCCCTGTCCATTTTGCCTTCCATATTTCTTGTGAGTGTCAAACTCTCTACGCCTGTACATTCGAAGCTAGTAAACTTAATTTATTATATTTTTATCTGAACTAATTTTTGTTTTAAGCGTTTCACCCCAAGCAAGGCGGGAAGCCACTAGGATGCAAAGGGTTACAGAAAATTTGGAGCAAGATCAGATAGGAGTGATAGAAGAAAGGATGAGGAGAAGGATAGTGGATAGATCAAGGCAACTGGAGATGCCGATTGACATTACATTTGAATAGTTGGAGATTATAGCTCTCAGGGAAACTGGAATAGGCTAGGGAGTTCCACAGGCGAGAGGTGCGAGACATGAAGCTATTGGAGTAGAAGAAACGGCTACATTTAAGAGTTTCGACAGTGAAAGGGTGAGAGCGGGATGCCAGCCTCGTAAGGCGCTTGAATTCATGAAGTCTGGGAACCAGCGAATGCAGCTCCTCGGAGCAATTGCCATGAAAGTATTTGTAAAACAGACAGAGGGAGGTGACGGCGCGTCTGTGAGAAAGTGACTGTAAACGAAATGTCAGAACAGGGCCAATTATATTGCATATCTGCCTCTGGAGCCTATCAAGAACCCCGAGGCAAACAGAAGGGGCTCCAGACCATATATGGCAGCAATACTCCATGCAAGGGCGAATTGTTGATTTGTAGATCTGGAGGTCGATTCTGGGGAGAAAAATTTCCTGGCGCGGCACAGGGAGCCAACTTTCCTTGCGGTGGACGAAGCAATTGACTCAATGTATTTGTTCCATCTCAGGTCAGCAGTCAACGCGAGACCGAGCAGCCGCAGAGAGGTGCTCTCGAGAAGTTATTCTGATCTTTCCTATTATCACAGCGTTTCAACCAATATGTCTTCTGATTTCTGATTTTTTCACGGGATTTTCGATCCGGGTAACCTAAAGCTAAGACCCTCATTTAATATACAGGGCTGGGTACAAATAGTTCTATCCGCGTCTACGACTATCTCGTCTTGTTCATTTTCACGTGTTGTCGCGTTGCCATTGTTGAAATGTATCAGAGCGATTCGTTTCATATGGAAAACGATGCGTGCATTTTATTCTATTATAGGCATTGCGCTTTGCGAGAAAAGAACATTTTATATTTGCTTGCGTGTTCATATCGTGTCGAGTTTAATAGTTAATGGGGATTCATAATACACGTCGTCGAGGTAATCATTTAATGGGTGAGCTATGGAAGACAGGAATATTCTCCCAGTTTCATGGTTGTATTTCGTGGGTGACGATCTGGTCAGATAATTATTTTTAAGCCATAAAAACTGGCTTTAAAAAAGTAGACTTAAAGAAGCGGCACCCTGACAGCGAACCTACTAACTGGTCTGAGCTGCAACGCTACATTGCTTGGGTATTCCTAACAGATGTAATAATGTTCTATTTGTTTTGGTACAAGACAATAAATATGGCCCTCCAGTGAGGATCGAACTCACTACTCAGTTGTAAAGGTTAACCGGAACAGGCTCGCTAAATATTAACCCACATTAAGAAGACCCAACTTTGAAACACCGGTTAAGCATCGTTGAGCCTGGACAGTATATAGATGGGTGATCGCTTAGGAATACTAAGTGCTGGAAGCAATGCCACAAGCCTAGCAAGCCGACGATGGGCAAAATTTTGCAACTCATGCTAACAGAAAACCTCAATAAGTGGAGGGATTACGGCCATATCACTTTCAACTGGTTCTCATCCGGCCACCGAAGTTAAGCAAAGTTGAGCCTGAATAGTACGTAGATGGGTGATCGCTTGGGAATACCAGACACTGGAAGCAACGCGACAGGCCTAGCAAACCAGCGATGGGCAAAATTTCACAACTTATACTAAGAAAACCCCAATAAATAGAAGGTTTACGGCCACATCACGCTGACACGCCGATTCCTGTACGATCACCGAAGTTAAGCAACGGCGAGCATGCCCAATACCAAGGTGGGTAGCCGCTTGGAAATACAAGGAGCTGTAAATTTGGATGTGCGGGTGGTGTAATGGTGAGGAATTGGAGAGCTGAGTTCCAATTTCAGTTGGGTTTGTTATGTTTACTTACGTGCAACTACCCTTGGGAAAGGTATAAATCATCTTCATCTCCCCAAGCTATGGATTAATTAGTAACACTTGTATCACTAAATCATTATTATTTCCAACAAAAACTCCTAACAACTAAAATTATTTTTTGCCTTTAAATAACCTGTAATGGGTTGATAAGCCGTAAAAAACGAATAAATCAAATCTAATCAATATGTGAAGATACATAGAACTCACTATTCATTTGTAATGGTCAACCAGACTAGCTCCACGAGGTGTCAAAAGATTTTATATGCATAAATAGTCCTAAGTTTTCTGAATCTGTTAAATTAAATTTGAATCATATGATTTAATTTTTAATCTTTTTTCTTTCATCACATGTTTTGTTTAGACCTCATAGTAGTATTAGTCTTAATAGTCTTCAACTACTTGATATCTTAAGATTTAATGTTATTCTTTTTTTACCTTTTCTGTCACTTTTAATTCTTTACTTATAGAAGTAGTAGAATAGTGTTGAATTTTCTGAATTTCTTAGATCTTTTGTCATTTTGCGTTTGTTGCTTGTAGTACTAAATACAGTAGTAGATACAATAGTCAAATTTTCTGAATTTCTTCGATTTTTTCGTCATTTTACGTTCGTTACTTGTAGTACTGAATATAGTAGTAGATACAATAGTCTAATTTTCTGAATTTCTTAAATAAAATAATATTAATTTTGTCTGTTATTTTACATTCGTAACTTGTAGTAGTAAATACAATAGTCTAAAATTTTCTGATTTTCTCACATGAAATAATTTTTCTGTCATTTTATATTCGTTGCTTGTAGTAGTAGTAGTAGTAGTAGTAGTAGTAGTAGTAACAATAATAGTAGATTCAGTACTCTTAAACTTTCTAAATTTCTTATATGAAGCATTGTTATTATTATTTTTGACTAGTTTTTCTTCCTTTCTCCTCATTTGATTACTTCCTGGAGTTTCAAAAAGATCCAACGCGGTCTGTCGTATCTCATAGGAGCTTTGATGTCGTTTAGATTACAGGACAGATTAAAGTCGGAATTTGATGGAAATCTTATAAAATGTGTTCATCAGAATCTTGTGTGTTTGTTACTATAATAATAATAATAATAATAATAATAATAATAATAATAATAATAATAAGAAGAAGAAGAAGAAGAAGAAGAAGAAGAAATATGTCATCTCAAGACATTATCTGTAATTTGGGGAAAGATATCAAAGGAATCAAACGAATATGGGGATCAAGTCTTAAAATATGAGAATAACAAAAAAATCCGTACTATTTCTCTCGTCTTGCGTAGATTTCTCTCCATACAGTAACCACTACATTACATGATTGTTTTTTTTTCTTTCTCTCTAATTACAAATCTATTGCTGGTAATATTTTCAAAGATGTATTCTGGTAATTTTTTTTCCCAAAATGTATTGCTGGTACTAATTTTTCTTTTTCAAAAATGTATTGCTGGTGATAATTTTTTCGGCCTCTTTACAAAAATCCGTCAATGAGACCTGATCTACAAACTGAGTTTTTTTTTTATATAAAGAATACATATTCTCTTCATATGAAAATATCCTAAAAATCTTGTCAGCATCAAATAACCCATTGAGGTTGATATGCTGTAAAAGAGAATAAACCAAACCAAAACCTCTTTACCAAAATACGTCACTAAAACCTGATTTACAAACTGATTCTACAGAGAACACATATTCATACGAACCTATCCTAAAAATTTTGGCGGTATAAAATAACCCATTGAGATTGATATGCCGCAAACAAAATAAACCAAACCAAACCAAACCTCTCTAATTGCATGGCACTTCATCTGTTTGCATTTTCTGATATTAAAAAAATTGTCTCCTGAGACTTGTGGACATGTCATACTAAACAAAGCGAAGACAAAACACAATAATAATAATAATAATAAAGTTGTCAAAATACAAGGACCTTGAAATAGAAATCTGAAAAATGTGGCACATGGGAACATCAACAATCCCTGTTGTAGTTGGAGCCCTAGGACTGGTTGGAAAAGATTGCAGTAGACTAATTGAAGGGATTCCTGGAAGTCCATGCCTCAAGGAGATACAAAAAATTGTTCTGACAAGTACAGCCCACACTTTACGAAGGGCTTTATCTATGTAAAATATTTTTTTTTAGTGGAAAATGTCATGATGTCATTTCTAACCTTAGGTCCCTGGGCGAGACCAGAAAAGAAATGTGTAAACGCCAGAAATCAAAGGAAATAAAAGTAATAATAATAATAATAATAATAATAATAATAATAATAATAATAATAATGAATAAACCCACAAGCATTACAAGGTAGTTGCATATGTGCATTGGAAGATATGTAAGAAGCACAAAATCGAAACCATTGAGAGATGGTATGTGCACCAACCAGACACATTGACCCAAAATAACGATGCAACTATCCCGTGTAAGATGCCAATTCAAATTAACAGGGAAATAAAAGCCAACAGAACTGATATTATCATAAAAGACAAGAAATTCAGGAAGTGTATGCTTATTGATATAGCAGTACCATCTGAGAGAAACACCTCCATGAAAATTATCGAGAAATTGTCCAAATATAAGGACTTGGAGATCAAGATTAACAGGATGAGAATTAAGACTGAGATTGTACCAATATTAATCGGAACTCTGGACCTCGTGAGAAAAGGAATGGACAGCTTTACTAACAGTGTCCCAAGTAACATCAACATACAGGTTGCCCAGAAGATCGCCCTACAAAGAACATCCCATATGCTAAAAAAGTGCTGTCAATTAAATGACAATTCTCCTATAGGACCTAAGGACTATAATTTGGCACTCGGCTCTCTACAGAAGGACACATAAAATACACAAATGACAATAATAATTAGAGATTCCAGTAGACGAAATGAAGGGATTCCTGGAAGCCCATGCCTTAAAGAAATACAAAAAATTGTTCTCACTAGTACAACCCACACCTTACGAAGGGCTTTGTCTATGTAAAAAAAAAAAAAATTTCCAGAGCTTTATTTATAGAAAATGTGTGTGATCTTAGGGATATTTGCTGGGGTTTTTTTTTTACAAAAATGGTCAGTGGAGAATGTAATGAAACCATTTCTGACCTTAGGTCTCCGGTCGGGAAATATGTCTATAACAGAAATCAAAGGAAATAATAATAATAATAATAATAATAATAATAATAATAATAATAAATCGTCTGAGTGGGGCAATACTTAGGGGAGACAATGTGCAAACACTCTAGAAAAGAAGTTAACAAACACTGGTATGAACATCACCCAGCACCGGTTACAGAAAATAGAAGACATCGCAATTCTCTGGAATTACACCATCTTTACAGACAGGAAGATTTCAGCAAAAAGGCCGGACATAATTGTCAAAAACCGAAAAGAAAAAAAACTTGCCTACTAATTGATATGGCTTGCCCAGCGGACTGTAACATAGCAACCAAGAAATTTGAAAAACTATCAAAATATAAAGACCTGGAAATCGAAATAGAAAAAAAATATGGCAATTGAAAACGAGAATAGTACCAGTCATAGTAGGTGCGCTTGGAATGATAAAAAAGGAACACAACATATTGAAAAAAAAAAGTGGAAATCCCAGCTTGACAGAAATACAAAATGTCTTGATAAGTACAGTCCACGCACTAAGAAGAACTTTGTCTACGTAACGGTATTGATGGCAGGTAGTGTGACATAACCAATGTTCTTATCCATGTGTCATTGAGGACATTGGTTAGACTAGGCCCAAAAAGTTGTGAGTTCAATACCAGGCCACAGCAGTGGTGAACCAAAAACTTGGAGAGTTGAGTTAAAGGGAAATAACTGAGACATCTGGAAGAGGCATGGCACGTGAAACTAGAACAATCTACCCCGGTGGACGAAATAAAGTGCCATGTCTAATGGATGTCAGTTATCTCCTGTTAATTCCTTTCCCAAAGTTCTCCACCGCCTTAACCAGATATTGAACTGACCCTTTTTGGGTCCTGTCACTGGCTCTAACTAACGCTTTTATCCAATGTGCCATGTTAAGGCGGTGGAGAACTTTGAGAGGGGAATTAACAGGAGATAACTGACATCCATTAGACATGGCACGTGGAACTAGAACAGTCTACCCCAGTGATCGAAATAAAGGGTTCAGTTCGACATTCCAACCACCTGATGAAGGCCGGAGCACACAACGGCTGAAACGTTGTGATAAACATGGCGACAAAGATGAGGACAGTAATCCGGATAATGTAAATAGTGATGATTGGGTTAGTTCAAAAATTTGTCGAGGGACACCATAACTTTTCAACTTCGCTTTCGAATAACCGAATATCATTCCTAAGTAAATAAAGCTCTTCTAGCATTTCGAATAGTTCTTTGTGTCATACTTTTTTCAATTAAAAAGCTATTGCACCCACTGCAAGACTTGCTTTGGTTCAAGGCAAATGCAGGTTATATATGTGCCTTCAATCTTTACGTACCTCCCCCCCCCCAAATGAATCACAGTGAATGCAAATCTATGTGTATGTATCGTTAGGCGTGTGGTGTAAGGATAGCTGTAGATAGACAGTGTCCGTATGGTTGGGCGTGGCAGGGAGCGGAGGTTGATTACAGGTACTTACTCCTAATCAATTCCCCTTCAACAACCTTATTCCTGTCGCATATGTTTTATACCCCGAGTGCATATGGATATATACCTATAGCTGCGTAAGTGTGGCGGTGGTGAAGTATGCAGCGCCACCCCTCCTTATCGCACTTTCTTCCCATACGTCCCTCTCATTTGGATTATTTCACACACTCTCTCTCTCTTTCTCTCCATCTCCCCCCTCTCTCTCTCTTTCCCT